CTTCCTGCCAGAGTTGCGAACCACATGCTGGTCAGAGCGCTGTCATGCTCGAGGGCCGTTGCCAGCGAAAGGACGTGTCCCCGAAGGGCGCTGCAGCCGCCGAGTCGCGCTGAGGAGGGGAGGGGGAGGGAGGGTGCGGTGGTCGGCAGGCGGGCAAGGGGGTCAAGTGAAGCCTTCGCGCAAACCCTCCTCTCAGCACAGGCGAGCGCGCGGCACTGGCGACCCGAGCCGACTGGGACCCGGTTCGAGGCGCTGCTCCCCGCCCGCCCTCGTACCCCGTGCCCTGCCCTACCCTGCCCTGCCCTGCCCTGCCTTGAGATGCCCTGCCTGTCCTGCCTGCCCTGCTCTGGCCTGTCCTGCACCGCTCGCCCCCCACCGCGAAATCTTACCCGACAATCTTCTCCCTCCAGCGCCGCCCTTCACTCCTCGTCCAGGACTCGCCCCAACCTGTCGTTCGGGCACTCCGCCTGTCTCTCGCACGGATAAGATATAGAGAGATGCAATATATGTGTATATATATATATAAACTATATAAACATATATATGTGTCTCTGTGTGTGTATGTATATATTCATTTATATCGATATCAAATGTGACTTAATCTGTGAAGTGAGGTAGACAGAATGAGATGAATGCAGAGAGGGAAGAAGAGCGGGAGATAATGAGAGATAAGGAGACACAGAAACAGACAGAGAGACAGACGGACAGACGAACAGACAGACAGAGACAGACACAGGGAGAAATATATATATAGAAAGAGAATAAAAGAGAAAGAGAAGCAAAGGGTAGTGACGTCATGGTCTCGAGATGAGATTCAGGGGGACGACCGCGACGAGGTCAAACTGTGTCAAGGTCACGAGGCAAGAGGAGAGCCAGATGTAGAGGAGGAAGACCCTAATGAGAACAGAGTAGCCAACGGAGGAAGAGCTGACGAGATGCAAGAGCGTGCCGGGGAGTAATTAAGGCAAAGTAGGCCAGCCTCAGTAGCGCAGCCTCCGCCACAGACGCCAGCCGCCCACGAGGGGACGGGCGCTCTGTGTGTGCGCGAAAGGTATGGATTAAAGCTGATAATTTGATAATGCAGGTGTATTTCTGGAGACGTCACACCGAAACGCGTGAAACCTCTCTGAGTAAAAAAAATGTAAGAATGCGCAATCAAAGAGAGAGAGAAAAATATAACATATTTATTTGGGTTATATTTCATCTGCGATCTGCTATCCCAAAAATGATCTTAGATAGTTTAGGCCAAGCATTAACTTCACATACTGGCTTTATTTCGGATGGCGGGTGTTTGATCTTTATGGATTGAAGAGAAGATAATGTCAAGGAGTCTCAGTGAAACCAAATCAAAAACATGTTGTGTTATTAATGCTATGCATATGGTAGATTTTTTGGGAAACTCTACGGGAATAACACTGAAAGAAAAGAGTTCCGAAAAAAATACACACACACACACACACACACACACACACACACACACACACACACACACACACACACACACACACACATATATATATATATATATATATATATATATATATGTATGTATATATATGTATATACTCACACATACATATACACACACACAAACACACAAAAAGGGTTCCGAAAAAATCATACACACACACACACACACACAATATATATATATATATATATGTATGTATATATATGTATATACTCACACATACATATATACACACACAAACACACACATATATACAGATACATATGTGTGTATGTATATATATATATGTGTGTGTGTGTGTGGGCAAGGCGCTTCTGTAGATAGGAGGGAAATGTTAAAGTCTCTTTGCAACAGTAATGGACAGTTAGCTAATAGTCACATTAGACTTCTCCCTTCCCATCCCCCCAAAGGATTAAAAGTGCATGTTTTTATAATTGCCATTTACTCATTCACATCCAAAGTACGTTAATGTTAGCAGATTTCGCATCCAAATATCACATATCATTTTACAACAGTATAAATAAAGCACTAATAAACGTTAAAACCGAACAAGCCTGTCAGACGAAGCGGAGGAAGATGAAGAGGAGATAAAAAATAGAATAAAAGCAAATCAAAGGGGGGAAAGAGAGAGGAGGAGGAATACGAAACACTAGTTGAAGCAGGCACGACCGAAATATAAATGAAATAATATACTGGTATTGTACCACCGAAACATTAATGAAAACGACCGAGACATCAGTCGAAACGGGTACTGACGAAACGAATCGAGCCACGTACGACTGAAACATTAATCGAAACATGCACGGTCTTCCTCACCCGCTCGCCTCGCCGTAGCACAGATGCCGACCAAGGTCATCGCTTTCAACGAAACAAAGTGACGTTGTTCTTAAAGCAACACACATCGTGGCTGCAGTCAGGATGCCCCCTTTTTTAGCATGGACTTACTTGGGTGTTCAAGATGCGCAATACAATTTTTGGGGAAAAACAGGATTTGAGATAAACAGTCTGTGGCGGTCATGCAAGAGGAACGTCAACTACGTTCTAAATAGTAAATTTTAATTTCGGCAATATCTAAATATCTTTCACACATAATGAATGGTCTTTTATGAGATAAGGAGAACAAGGTTCCCACAAAAAATAATGAAAATAATAATGCTAATAGTAGGAGTACTACCACTCTTAGGAGTAGCATTAATGTTAATGATAACGATGACAATAATGATAATTAATATTATTATCATTATCATTCTTGTTAAGATCGTCCATATCACCAGCCTCAGCATCATGAACAGTCTGACTCTCAAGGTCATGGTGACACTTTTTTCCAGAACTTGTGTGATGTTTTTACCCGCGAAGGAGCCACTCTATTTGCACACATAGCTGAAGCTTGTCTCACGTCCCTCATCATTGCTATGAGCAGAGTTCTTCAA